TCTAATAATGAAATAGAAATTTTGTAGAGAGAGAGAGAGAGAGAGAGAGAGAGAGAGAGAGAGAGAGAGAGGTTGAGTATTTAAATGTAGCAGATTGATATCCAGAAATAACAAGCCAGCAGTAAGCTGACAGGACATGCTGGAACTTGTAGTCCTATAGCCAAGGAAAAGTGGCTACTGGGGACTATACTTTCCCTTTAATGATATTATCCCTAATATTAAATAGATTCAGCAGGAAATCAAGTAAAGAATATAACTGCACCAATGAGCATGCTAGTCACTGATATGGTAATCAGCCACCTATAGACAGACAGACGTCCTGTTAGTATGGAAGAACAGAGGATAGAACATTACTGCTTGTCTTCTATGACCACCAGCTCCTAAATACAATCCATGCAATAGAATAAGTACTAACATTAAACAATAGCTATTTAAAAAAAAAACATTTTAAATCCATATTTTAGTCTCCATTTCCTTACATACTGGCAGAGAATCATTCTACATCCATCTGTATTATGTTTATGTACTATACCATTGGATATTGATCTGTTATATGCTTCTATACCATAATGTTTGACATAAATTATTATTATTATGCTTCTATTCTATAACAATGGATATTGGTCTGTAGTGTATGCTTCTTTACTATAACATAAGACAACCACATGTGTTATTCATGCTTCTATATTATAAGATAGGACATCCCTCTGTATTCTGCTTCTGTATAATAACATATGACATCCTTCTGTAATCTGCTTCTATATTATAACATAGGACACCGCTCTGTATTATGCTTCTATATTAGGACATCCCTATGTATTCTGCTTCTCTAGTATAACATAGGACATCCCTCTGTATTATAACCTAGGACATCTCTCTGTATTATTCTATATTAGGACATCCCTCTGTATTACCCCTCTGTACTATAACATAGGACATTGATCTGTATTATTCTTCTGTATTATAACATAGGACATCCCTCTGTATTATGCTTCTATATCATAACATAGGACATTGATCTGTAATATGCTTCTGTACTATAACATAGGACATTGATCTGTAATATGCTTCTGTACTATAACATAGGACATTGATCTGTAATATGCTTCTGTACTATAACATAGGGCATTGATCTGTATTACTATAACATAGGACATTGATCTGCAATATGCTTCTATACTATACATGGGGCATTGATCTGTATTACTATGACATAGGACATTGATCTGCAATATGCTTCTGTACTATAATAGGCAGTCATCATTTGTTACATAAGCTGCAGAACAAAGTAAAATCACAACTGAACCGTCTGTACCCCACTCCTGTGTTTCTAATACTGAGATCTACAATACACCATATACATACTGGGTGGGGGTGATGAGAGGAAATGAGTTCTGTATTAGAATGAGGACACTCACTACCTAGAAATCTGTATATTTGGGTAAATAAACAGAAATAAAGGAACTAAACACAAACATTCTATAAATGCAAATATCTTCACCCCCTCAGGCAAGTGCCTTGTTTGCATGAATAGTACACACATCAGTTACTATTTCGGAGATAAGGGCTACAAATCTGACTTTTACAGCTCCCCGATTTGCATTGCACCTCTACCACCATTATAAAAAACCAAATGTACATACAGAAACAGTGCAATGTGAATACAATCAGGCTGATATATAGAGAGGTTATTTACATAGCATAGTTAGTTTAAAAAAAAAAAAAAAAGTGACCTTGTGTTTACTTGCATGACCCGCTCATGAATAATGGTATTTCCAGGATTTGGGCAAAACCATGATAGATTTGAGTAAGGTGATCACATCGTCACCTTATTTACTAAGCTGAGCGAAAAGCCTTACCCTTTCTAGATTCACACCACTTAACAAATGCCAGACATTTTAATTCTGCCTTTTTTTATATGGATGGATTAATTGTTGATTCGTAATACAGGGTATACGGTACTGAGGTCTATTAACCCTTTGATTGCGCAACAAGGTAATATGCATATTGACCTAGAGCGCAGCATTGGTGTATTTGTTTGGTTGGGATTTGTACATGCCAGCAGGGATCCTCGGTGCGATATCAAGGCAGCTCGTTTTATAACGACACTTATCAGTCAGTGCTATTTATTCAGTGTCTGGAACACCTGTCTGCTGTGTGTGGCTGGGGCCCCTAGAGTGACTGTCATTACCTGGGGAGGAGGACGGGGATGGGGGTCTCCATAAATCGTCCACTTCTGACGCGGTGGTGTCGCAGCACACACTGCCCTCGGAGCTAGGGGGCGACACATCGGACGACGCATCGCCAAGGTGGGATGGCACGGGGGAAATGTTCCCTCTACTACCACTACTACTACTACTAACAATAATATTAATAATAATATTAATAAGTATTATTACTATTATTTTTTTATGATCATATAAAACATGAATACAATAGTCACATAGTCACAGTTGTCTAAATTAATCTGTATTCCTTGTAAAACAATACAAAAAACCCCATTTTAATAATTATAAATAAGGACATAATGGCTATGGACAGAAGATTTGAAATGATTGGAAAGTTTTGGTTATATAAGATCGTCCAATGAGCACTCATTTGTCAGAGTTTCCTCTGCTTTGCACTACAAAGCTAATATCTCATTGGCTGATATTGCAGTAAGGACAGCATAACCACAATCCTCCAATTTACTCTACAATCCATTGAAAACAATGAAAGTTTTTTTCTCTGAATAGTATTCATGAACTAGTCTTATATGTAATGATTTAATACTTATTGGCATTATCCCTGAAATGATCGGAGAGAACTGGTTATGTAAGGACAACCAATGAACACTCCTCTAAAATACAGAAAGCTAGAATCTGATTGGCTGGGGTGGCAGTAAGGACCGCATAGCCACAGTTCTCTCAATTACTCTGCAGTCCATTCAGAACAATAAATCTGATCACCTTCAACTACTTCTATACCTAATGACAAGTGTGTTTATTTCTTGTAGATTTGTGTGTATCATTGGTATAAGAGCGATGCATTCACTTACACTAAAAAATATGAACGCAGCCAATGAACCGTCACGTTTCAGAGTTCTCACTGCTCTACACTCATGAAAGCTAAAATCTGATTGGCTGAGATTCTTTTTGTTTACATCTGACAGGTCCAAAAAGCGGACTTTTTCCTCCTGTACGATCCCAGCTCATCCTATAGGATGTCAAAGAATCCTGACACAGGCCGATTCACTAAAGGAGGTGAGAAAGTTCACCTTGTGTGAATATTCACTTCAATGATCAAGATGAAATACATGAGCAGGGATTCGTTTTCCTAGTAATTGGATAATTCTAGTAAATATTCACACAGTTTATTGTGCAAACATTCTGGATTCCTTTAGTAAATCAGCCTCATAATGTCAATTGGATAGATACAATAAGAGATCAGAACGAAAATCGAAATAAATCGAATGAATCCTATTTTTGTATTATAGAAATGTGCTGTAAATTCGTACATTAATCATTGTTTTTAGTCGTATCACTTCAACTAGACTTAAGACGCAGCCAGATCGCCAGTCGTGTGACCGATCCCGTCCTAATAATCGCACGATCACATCGTAGTTATAGTATGCTAATGGATTTGTATTGCAGTAAAAGACATGAGTGGTGATCGGTGCTTACAAAATGACAGAATGCAGCACAATGCGACACAATGTAATGGTTGTAACTATGACATTCCCTGTAGTGTTACTTTTGAATCTTTTGATCGTATGAAATAGTAAATTGCTAGTTCAGTTGAAGAGATATTCGGGTGCCAGTTATGTGTTACAGTAGAAATTCGCTCAGATTTCAGGTTTTCTAACAGAATGATGGTTCATTTTGACAGCTGTCACAGAGGTATGCTGTGCATCGTAATGTATATAGAAGAGGAGAGGCGATCATACCTGCACACAGATGAGCCAGCACCGTCGCCTGCTGCAGGCTGTAGTCATCTCCATCCGTAGATCTGGGCTGGTGGTAGCTGTGAGCTTTCTTACTCTTGACCAAGAATGATCTGGGCATTGTTGCGGTTCTCAGTCCTCTTGCCACAAACAACAAATGCCCAGGGGCAGCTGCCACTGTCTGCTCTCAGTCCCAAATCCTGCCTGTTATCTGCTCACTGATTTGCCATCCATTGGTAAGGATGAGGCAGGAGCCAGGGATGGAGAAGTAGGGGTGTGGGCGGAGTTCACCTGGATGGGCGGGTATGTGGGAGGAGCTTTGCACTTCAATAGAACTTGGATGCTGCATTCACCAGGTGGCATTCAGACAGGTGGCTGCGCTGTGACATCTCCCCGCTGGAACAATAGGGGGTCCCCGGCCTCGCTCGTAGCTCGTTCGCCCTCCACCTGGGGAATGAAAGGCAGCAAGCTCAGAATGAGTGACATTGTCTTACCAAAGCTGCTTACTCAATGCCACCATATCTTTCATCAGGAGGCTGGGCTGGTGACAGAGGAGTTAGCAGCCTCTTGAGCAACAGCCAGGACACCAGCAGAGGCAGAAGACAGACACAGATAAGAGCTCAGAGCTTGTGTAAGACGATTGTTCTTCTTACCAAAGAGACTTCCTAAGAAAAATCACACCGCTTGTTACAGTGTGCCGCCCCACCATCAGTGACTGCAACACAACACAACATGAGTGACTGCAATACAACACAGCATGAGTGACTGCAACACTGCAATACAGCATGAGTGACTACAACACAACATGAGTGACTACAACACAACATGAGTGACTGCAACACAACATACATGAGTGACTGCAATACAACATGCATAAGTGACTACAACACAACATACATGAGTGACTGCAATACAGCATGAGTGACTACAACACAACATGAGTGACTGCAATACAACATGAGTGACTACAATACAACATACATAAGTGACTGCAACACAACAGAACATACATGAGTGACTGCAACACAACATACATGAGTGACTGCAATACAACATACATGAGTGACTACAACACAACATGAGTGACTGCAGGGAGACACAACATGAGTGACTGCAACACAACATGAGTGACTACAACACAACATGAGTGACTACAACACAATATGAGTGACTAAAACACAATATGAGTGACTAAAACACAATATGAGTGACTAAAACACAATATGAGTGACTAAAACACAATATGAGTGACTAAAACACAATATGAGTGACTATAACACAACATGAGTGACTGCAACACAACATGAGTGACTACAGTACAACACGAGTGACTACAATACAACATGATTGACTACAACACAACATGAGTGACTGCATCACAACACAATAATGTACTGCATATAACAACATGAATGCTGATCCCAATATACTCTATATAACAACATGAGTGCTGATCCCAATATACTCTATATAACAACATGAGTGCTGATCCCAATATACTCTATATAACAACATGAGTGCTGATCCCAATATACTCTATATAACAACATGAGTGCTGATCCCAATATACTCTATATAACAACATGAGTGCTGATCACACTATACTCTATATAACAACATGAGTGCTGATCACACTATACTCTATAATATAACAACATATGACAAACTGTGTGTTATAGTGCAGAAATCCTGGCACGTCTCTGGATCCTCTCTGATAACTGGCAGTTCATGAATTCTGTTATTTTATCTGATTTAATTTGTTTTCCTTCACATTAATCTGCAGACCAGAAGTGACAATGACAAGAGTTGGGGTAAACTATGACACCGACAACAAATGCCGTTCATATATGGGTTGGAGATTTGTCTTCATCATCACATTAATCGGTCACATGTAATGAAAGGATATCTTTTTCTTCATAGTGTCCCTTTATTATATATCGTGTGACGTATTCATTATTGCTGACAACACATTTTACATATTTATCCGTATGGCGCTTTGTGTGAATATTTACATATGTATCAATCTTATGCTTACTACATATTTTTACATATTATTTATATAGCTAAAACTGTGTATTTTATCATTGTCTAATCGTGTCATTAATGTATATACTTAAACGAGCTCAAACCAACGAAATACGAATGTTACATAGAATCTCTCTGCTAATTGTCTTCACACACTAGAATGTCTATTTAGAAATGCCTTCCCTAGATTTCCAACTTTCACCCAGAATATTGAATGCACTTAAACATATTGTGCGAATCAATCTTGATTGAAAGCTGTTTGAAAACTTGACCCCCTAAGTCAGT